CAAGACCTCATCTCTACTAAAAATAGAAAAACCAGCCAGGTGTTATGGCAGGAGCCTGTAGTACTGGCTACTCAGGAGGCTGAGGCAAGAGGATGGCTTGGGCCTAAGAGGTTGAGGTTGCTATGAATGATGATGATGCCCCATCACTCTACCAAGCGTGACAAAGTGACACTATGTCTCAAAAAAAAAAAAAAATTACAAATCCAATTGTGAGACACCTCCTCTCAGAAACGTCAAGTGGCTTCTCTTTGCCCTCAGATCATTCTGAAATTCTTTGACAGAAGTGGCAAGGCCTTTTGGGATGTGGTTCTCTAAGCCCCTCCCATACCATCTTTCTAATCTATTTTCAACTAAATGGAAATTTTTTCACTTCCTCAACTGCACGGTGACTTTCTCTTGCTCAGGATCTTTGAACATATCATTTCCTCTTTCCTCACATCTTTGCTAAGACACCACTTCCTCTGGGAAGATTTTCCTGATGTCCTCTGTGAAATAGACTGAGATAGTTGTCAACCCAATATCCATTTCCCATTCATGCTGAGCTCCGTGCAAGGCAGCCAGGTGCCTGGCTGAAAGACTATTTTCCTCGGTCTTCCCTGAAGCTGGCAGTGGCTGGCAACAAATGACATAATGTAGAAGTTCTTCTGGACAATGACATAATGTAGAAGTTGAAGGGTGGGATTTCCAGGAAAGCTCTTTGAAGGGGTAATTCCTCTTTTCACTTCTTACTCTTTCTCCTTCCTGCTTCTTAAAATGCAGAACAGCTGGTAGATGCTTGACAATCTGGTAACATCAAGCTGGAAGCACAGTTTATGATGGTGGGGGAGAGAGTGATAGATAGATAGATAGATAGATAGATAGATAGATAGAGCTCTTCTGTCTGTGATTGTAAGCACACCCCAATTGCCATTCAGACTATATCATTAGGCTGCTAAAGGGAAGCCATTTTGTTTCAGTATGTTTTTGGCTTGTTCTGTCTTAAAAATTTAGAATTGACCTGTTGCTTGCTTGCAGAGCTGCCAGGCACAAGATTAGACAATGATTGGGAGGAAAAACAGATTAAGGGTCTGGAACAGGCTAACCTTCCAGATAGGTGAGGACGAGATCCCCCAGATGACTTACTGTTTGCTGATAACCTTCAAGCAAAGCCATGAGAACTTGCACAAAGCTTGCTTTCTGCCACCAGCTCCCCCATCCCTATCCTTTATAAATTGCTAAGTAAACCGAGGAAGATGAGATGGTCTTTGAGACAACAGCCATCTCCTGACTGCTGGCAGTGGAATAAACCACTTTTCCTTCACCAACACTCACCTCTGGTGTTTGCTTCTCAGATGGGCAGCCAAACTTGCATCTAGCAACTGGTGACCTTGGACCACACCAGCCTTGGCTTGCCTACCTCTGGAATTCCTCTATATGAGAGAAAAATGACTGCTTATGTGTTTAAGCCATTTTCGGGGGGGTAAATGCAAATGAACTGAATTCTAATCAATAGTAACACTAACTGGCTCTATTGCTTAGGACCAACAATTGCATGGCACATGATATATATGCTGTGTAAGTATTTGTTGAATGAATGAATGAATGAATGGATGAAATAACACAGAGGATGTATCAATATAACATTTAGTCCTCCAGCTCAGATGTCATCTGATCCTCTTGAGGATCTGAGTATGTGGAACTGTATGTAATTCCACAATTCCTTTATTTATTTCTTTATTAGAGCCAGAGTCTCACTTTCTTGCCCTCGGTAGAGTGCTGTGGTTGCTCAGAGCAACCACCAGCTCCTGGGCTTAGGCAATTCTCCTGTCTCAGCCTCCCAAGCAGCTGGGACTATAGGCACCCACCACAACACCAGGCTATTTTTTTTGTTGCAGTTCAGCCGGAGCCGAATTTGAACCCGCCACCCTCAGTATATGGGGCCGGCGCCCTACTCACTGAGCCACAGGCGCCACCCACACAATTCCTTTATTTATTGATTTATTTTTATGAAATCATAGCTGTGTACATTAATGCATTCATGAGATACAATGTGCTGGTTTTATATACAATTTGAAATATTTTCATCAAACTGGTTAACATTGCCTTCGCTGCATTTTCTTAGTTATTGTGTTAAGACATTTATATTCTACATTTAGTAAATTTCACATGTACCCTTGTAAGACGCACCACATTTCCTTTAATAGGTCAGTGGAAGACCTTTGATCACTCTTCTAACAAATTACTCAGGACTCTTCTTACCACACATACAAGTATCTAAAAATAGTTGCCAATGTGAAGATTCTGTAAGATCATGATTTATTTCAGATTCAGTGACTCATTTTTAAAGAGATAAAAGAAGCAGAAAACACAGAGAAATTGACGTGTTGATAATTTCTGTGAAGGATGTAAGGTCTATGTCTAATTAAGATTTTTGCACATGCATGTCCAGTTCTTCTAGCACCATTTGTTGAAGAGATTACACTTGCTTCATGGTGTGGCTTTTCTCCTTTGTCATAGATCAGTTGACTGTATTTATATGGGTTCATTTCTGGGCTCTCTGTTTTATGCCTTTAATTTATTTATTGATTCTTTTGCTAATACCACACTGTCTTCATTACTGCAGCTTTCTAATAAGTCTTGAGGTAGGATCAGTTTCTGACTTTGCTCTTTTCTTTCAATGTTGTGTTGGCTATTCTGGGTCTTTTGCCTCTCCATGTAAACTTTAGAATGAGTTTGTCGATACTTACAAAATAACTTACTGGGGTTCAAACCCAGCCCTGGCCAAAAACTGCAAAACAAACAAACAAACAAACAAACAAACAAAAAACAAACAAAACAAAAACCCAAAATAACTTACTGGGATTTAATTGGTGTCATGTCAAATCTATAGATCCAGTTGGGAAGAACTGACATCCTGACAATATTGAATCTTCCTATCCATTGAACATGGACTAGCTCTCCATTTATTTAGTTTTTCTTCCATTTCTTTCATTAGAGTTTTGTGGTTTTCCTCATGTAGATCTTGTACATATTTTGTTAGACCTATACCTGAGTACTTCATTTATTGAGGTGCTAATATAAGTTGAATTGTGTTTTGAATTTTAAATGTCACAGGGCTGGGTGTGATGGCTCACACCTGTAATCCTAGCACTCTGCCTGACCAAGGCAGGTGGAAAGCCTGAGCTCAGGAGTTCAAGACCAGCCTGAGCAAGAGCGAGATGCCATCTCTACTAGAGATAGCTGGGCATTGTGGTGGATGCCTATAGTCCTAGCTACTTTGGTGGCTGAGTCATGAGGGTTGCTTGAGCCCAGGAATTTGAGGTTGCTGTGAGCTAGGATGCCACAGTACTCTACCCAGGGTGACAGGGTGAGACTCTGTTTCAAAAAAAATTTTTTTTTTCAAATGTCACTTGCCCATTACTAGTAAATAAGAAAATGATTAACTTTTGTACGTTAGCTTTGTATCCTGCAAACTTGCTATAATCCTTATTCGTTTTAAGAGGTTTTTTTTTTTTGTTGATTCAGATTTTCTGCATAGAAAATCATGCCATCAGAGGAAAAAAAGCTTTATTTCTTCCTTCCCAATTTATATACACATATCTTTCTTTTTCTTGTATTATTGCATTAGCTTGAACTCTCATACAATGTTGAAATTCTAAGAATGATGAAAGGAGACGTCCTTCCTTGTTCCTTATTTTGAGGGAAAGTTTCTAGTTTCTCACCATTAAGTATAATGTTCACTATAGGTATTTTGTGGTTGTTCTTTATCAAGTTGAGGAACTTTCCTTCTATTCTTAGTTCACTGAGGACTTATTAACAATTAAGAGTGTCCATATTTCGGGGTGGTGCCTGTGACTCCGTGAGTAGGGCACCAGACCTATATGCCAAGGGTGGCAGGTTTGAACCCAGTCCCAGCCAAACTGAAACAAAAAAATAGCTGGGCATTGTGACGGGCACCTGTAGTCCCAGCTACTTGGGAGGCTGAGACCAGAGAATCATCTATACCCAGAGTTGAGGTTGCTGTGAGCTGTGGCACCACAGCACTCTACCAAGGGTGATAAAGTGAGACTCTGTCTCTAAAAAAAAAAAAAAAAAAAAAGAATATTCATATTTCAAATGAACCAATTGAGAATTTATGTGCGAATCAGAGCTGGTAGCAGAGCCTACAAAAGGTGAAAGTTGGAGCAGAAAAATGACTCAGTTTCTCTGTGCCTTTCTACCATTTGCTAGCTGGTAATCTTGGGCAAGTTACTATGAACCTCAGTTTCCATCTTTGAAAAATGGACTATGACATAATGCATGCAGAATGCTTGGCACAGTTCTGGGCAAAAGGTGAGCACTCAATAAATGTCAGTTATAGTTACTCATTCTTGGGTGAGGCTCCTATCCCATTTGTGTCCTCCCCCAGTGCTCTAGGACCCAGGCTTGGGTCCGTTTCACTCTTTCTTGGTTTAGAATGGTTGGTGCCTAGGACTTTTGCTTGGAGTTAGTTACACAATGACCTCATTTCACAAAACCCTTTCTATCTTTTAACTCCTATTTTTTAACTGATTGTCTCCCTTTTTGAGTGAATTTGTGTTTAATGCCTTCCTTTAGATGCCCTTTTTCATGCTCAACTTCCTTGTGGGATGGAGCAGGTAATCCAACCTCATAGTTGGGTGGCTTGAGGTCAAAGATAGATGATGATCTGAGGTCAGTGGTGACTTACAGTTATTTCATTGATTCATTTCTTCCTTTTTAAAAATTTTAGATTAATATGAGGGTACAGATGATTAGGGTTACATTGTTTGGGTTTGTTGGGTAGAGTCCAAGTTGTAGTTGTATCCTTCACCCAGAGGATGTGCCCTATAACCTTACATTGTGCCTATTAGGCAGGGGCACATCAATCCTCTCCCTCTTCTCCTCTTTCTCCTCTTTCCTCTTCCTAACCCTCACTTGAGTGTAATTGTGTTTTTTCTTGTGTGGGCACGTATTTGTTCATCTACTGGTTTCATATTAGTGTTGTGTACATTGGATACTTGAAAACTATGGAATGTTTCACAAATTTGTATGTCATCCTTGTGCAGGGGCCATGCTAATCTTCTTTGTATTGTTCCAATTTTAGTACATGTGCTGCAAAGCAAGCACTCAATTCTTTTCTATAGAAGTGAAATCTATTCATTATTTGGACTAGTCCAGGACATCTGGTCGTCTTATTTAAGAATCACAGATGGGTAATCATACCATGTTACTACTTAAAATAGAGGCTAAAGCAAACAGGGGAACAAGGGATATGTACTAAGATATTTGGGTACATGGTTTGGCTCTAAAGGCTGACCTGTGAAGAAAGAATGAGTGATAGAGCCTTCTATCACCAAAGCCGGAGATCCTCCAGTCCATACATTTCATGTTTGATTAATATAAATTCCTTTCTTTCTTTATTTTAATTAATTAATTAATTAATTAATTTTTTAAGAGACAGAGTCTCACTTTGTCATTCACAGTAGAATGCTGTGGCGTCACAGCTCACAGCAAACTCTCAGCTCTTGGGCTTAGGCAATTCTCTTACGTCAGCCTCCCGAGTAGCTGGGACTATAGGTGTCCACCACAACACCTTGGCTATTTTTTGTTACAGTTTGGCTGGGGCTGAATTCGAACTTGTCAGCCTTGGTATATGGGGTCAGCGCTCTACTCACTGAGCCATAGGCACCACCCCATAAATTCCTTTCTTGAATGCTTACTAATAGAGTGATTTTTATTTCTATGCAACTCACTTTAACCTCCAAAAATTACTGCTAAGTTGAGTAGACATTTAATTTTTCTTATAGATGCGGTCTCATTATGTTACCTAGGCTGGCCTTCAACTCCTGGGCTCACGCCATCCTTCCACTTCAACCTCTTGAGTAGCTGGAACTCCAGGGACATGCCACCATATCTGGCTAAAAATTTTTTTGAAATTCTTTTTTAAAATCAACTTTCCTGAGACGTAATTCACATAAAATAAACTGTGCCTGTTTCAAGTGAACAGTTTGACAAGTTCTAACAAATGTGGACATCCATGTAACTGTCACCAAAATAAAGACATAGAACATTTTTGTCACCCCAGAAAGGCTCCCTGGTGCCCCTTCCCAGTACCCATCCAGCCCCAGCCCTAGCTCCAGGCCACCCCTGATCTGCTGTCACTATGGATTACACTTCTCTTTCCTAGAGTTTTCTGCAAATGGAATTGGACAGCATTTGCTCTTTTGTGTCTTCTGAGATTCATCTATGCTGTGTGTGTCAGTAGTTTGTTCCTTTTTGTTACTGGATTATTCCACTTTTAGACTGTACCACGATTTGTTCATTCATGCATCTACTAGGGACATTTGAGTTGTGCCCAGTTTGGGGCTATTTTGAATAAAGTTGCTATTAATACAAACATTATAACACAGACCTTTGTGCAGATGTGGGGTGGATATATATCCCACAAAAATTCTGGGTCCTATCTTTGCTGTGAAATTTCTTCGTAGTCTGGCACAGTGAATTATTCCTTCCAAGTTGAAGGACAAATTCTCACATCTTCCCCCTGGTCACAAAGAAAGAGGTACAATGTTTAGTGGAACTGTTTGGATTTTGGAGACATACTACTTTAACCCATGTATTGAATAACCTAAAAAGATACGAGTCTTGAACGAGACCCCAGAGCAGTGGAGGCTCCATAAACTGTGCAGGCTACTCTGCCAATGAACTTCGAGACCCAGTGGTACTGATGTGTCAGTGGCAGATAGAGATGCTTATTTGAACCTTGGGCAGGCCTCTGTTGGTGAGTCCCAGCATAGCACCTAAGGGTTTTGGAGCAAAGCTATGCCATCGTCTGAGGCTAACTGTTCTCTTTATGAGACATGTTTTCTGGCCTGTTGTTGATAATAAACACTGACTGTGTCAACATGAGCCACCATTTGTCAAGTGTGGAGCTGTTTGTCATGAATGAGCGTCATCTGATCTGAACCAGATAGTTGGGGGCACACAGAAGAATTCCCTCATCAAATGCAATATGAGATTAAGTTCAAGTAGGCCCTGCAGGCTCAAATAAGTTGCATGAACAAGTTGAACATGCCCTTGGCCAGTGCTATTGCCAAGGTGACTCTCCCTCTCAATTATATTTATAGCCTCATGAGGAGTTTCCCATACCGGCTGACTGAGGAAATTGGGGCTTGGCTTGCAGGTGTCTGACAGTGTGAGGCACTACCCAAAGTGGCTAGTACAGCAGTGCTCCACTCAGGAATGCTTCGGGAAGCGGAAGTCAGAGCAGTACAGGAGGATGTTCATTTTTCCTAGAAAAAAAGCTGGGCATGGGTACAGATTTATGCTAAATCCTAGACAGTGACTAATGGCTTAATCTGATGGTTGGGAACTTCAAAGAGACATGATTGGAAAACTAGTGACAAGTAGGTCTGGAGAAGAGGCTTATGGAGAAAACTCTCTGAATACAACAAACTAGGAGAATTTGTATGTGCTATGAATACTTACCCAAAGCTGCCAGAGCAGAGAGTAATTTTAATAATAACATAAACAAGGTGATCAGTCCTGACAGCATCACCTAGCCGCTTTCCCAGCTGCCCTGGTCTCTTGCTCACTGGGCTTGCCAGTGTGCTAGCCATGGGGCAGGGCCATAGGTGGACATGGCTATGTGGATTTCCTCTCATCTAATTCCACACCAGCCACTGCTGAGTGCTCAATCTGCCAAGAGTAGAAGTCTATACCCAGACGGCACCATTCCTTGGGTTAGGTGAGGACAAAGGTACCTGGTGGCAGGTTGATCACACTGGACCTCTTCCTTTGTGGAAGGGGTAGCAGTACTTTGTCCCTGGAACAGCCACTTACTCTGGGTTCCTTGTAGTCTGCCTTCCTTGACTACAATGTTTCTGCCAAACCTGCCATCCATGGGCTTAATTTTATTGGCCATGAAATTCCATCCACCACTGCTTCTGACCAAGGAAGCAATTGTATAACACAGGAGTGCAGCAGTGGGATTGTGGACTTCATGGGGGTTATGGTGAAGCAGGTGGTACATTAGCAGAGTGGAATGGGTTTTAAAGGCTCACTTACAGCACCAGCTTCATGATAACACCTTGCCAGTCGGCGGTCATGTCCTCCAGGATTCCATGTGTACTCTAAGTCAGTGACCCATAGGTGATGCCATTGCTCCCGCAGTCAGGATTCGTGGGTCCAGGAATCATGCGGTGAAAATGAGAGTGGCTTTCCTTACTATTACCCGTGGTGTTCCAGCAGTGAATTTCTTCTTTCTATCTCTGCAACCTTCGGCTCTGCTAGTCAAGAAATCTCAGTTTCTATGAGAAACTAAGCTTAGCTTCCATGAAGGAACACAATGATGGTTCCATTAAATTGAAAGATAAGTTTGCCATCTCCTCATGCCAGTGAATCAACAGGCAAAGAAAGGGATTCATTTCCATCTGGGATGGTTGATCCTGTTTACTAAGGGGAAATTGGACTGCCACTACATAGCAGGGGTGAGGAGTATGTACCCCAAGTCCTGTGATGAGTGTCAAAGGAAAATGAAAGCATTCTAGTACAAAGAGGACTGATAATGGGTCAGACCCTACAGGAATGAGGTCATCTCACCAGGCAGGGAACGTGGACCCTTTCAGGTGCTTGTTAAAGGGCAAGGGAATATTGAATGAGTAGTGGAAAGTAACTATAAATGTAAGTTAACAACCACATAACCAGTTTTAGGAATGAGGACTATAAAGGGTGCTGAATTTTTAAATTTTGATATAGATATGTTTGTACATATATACGTATGTATAGGTACATGTACATAAACACACATATATACATTTAGATAGGGTTTCACTCTGTTGCTTATGCTGGAGTGCCATGGCGTCATGATAGCTCACAGCAGCCTCCAACTCTTGGGTTCAAGCAACCCTCCTACCTCAGCCTCCCAAATAGCTGGGAATCCAGACACCTGCCACAACACTCTGGCTAATTTTTCTATTTTTAAGTAGAGACAGGGTCTTGCTCTTGCTCAGGCTGGTCTTGAACTCCTGATCTCAAGCAGTCTTCCTGCCTCAGTCTCCCAGAGTGTTGTGGTTACAGGTGTGGGCCACTGCATCTTGCCCATATTTGTACATATATACACTAGTTTTTTTCTATTTCTCTATTCAATTTCCCTCCCATATTATGACATGATATGTGTTAATAGTACTTAACTTTATGTCTCGGTATTTAAATTACAGTAAGTCAAAAAAGAGAATATGACTCAGTTACAAGCAAAATGAACGTCACCCAAAGATGAATACAGAGATTTGTATCTTCTTTTTGGGAGGGGGTCAGTGTGTTTTCTGTTGGATGAGAGTATTTCATTAGGTTAAGACCAAAGCAAGATTTTGCCACTATCTTCTTGGAAAATGAAACTGGAATGGTTGAAGGGGTGTGTGTGGATGCTGGGGGCGGCACAAGGTGGACCATGGTGTGTAGTAGACATGTGTCACATCAACTTGCCTGGGCTGGAGCCATGTTTCCCCAAATTCCCTTCCCTGTATACTTCTGGATTAGTGCAGGCCATGGGAGACATTTCATATCAGTTAGGAAGGTGAAAATGGAGAAGCAACTTCTTTTTAGGCTCACTGGGCCAGGCAGGGCACAGGGTTCTGCCACACACTGTCGATAATCTGACAGCTTAATTGGGTGGCTTAGGACAGTGGCTGAACCCACAGCTCTTCCAGCTTCTTCCAGAAAACCCTTCCGTGTCTCTACTGCCCTGTGCTGAGGGGCTCAGATTCTCCTGCAGGAAGTCTCCTTCACTGAAGTTGGCGCTTCACGTCAGGGGTAGGCACAGGTTCCAGCCTGTTCTGTGTTATTCATATTCATTGATTTTGGTAATAGGTCAGCCTTGACGTTTTGGGTTGTTCTGGCTTCCTACACTTTGTGTCCCTCTTTCCTTCCTGGTAGCCTGTTCTTTGGAGTTTGGCCTTCAGCTCTGGCATGGTAACGGTAGACTCACGGTCAGGGTTGAATTGTGCCCACCTTTGAAAGATATATGGAAGTCCTAACCCGCAGGGCTTCAGAATGCGGTATTATTTGGAAATACGGTCATTGTAAATTTAATTAAGACGAGGTCCTATGGGGGTAGTGTAGGCCCCTAT